GAATCATAAAACTAGTATAGGATACTAAAACCTTGCTTGGAACACTCACCTTAATAAAACTGACATTCAGCTCTTTAGCAGTATAACCCCTGGCCAGATTTCTCCTGACATATACATCATAATCTTTTACCACCCTTGCAATCAGGTCCGATGTAGAAATTCCTTCTGTTCTCTGAGTGGCCACAAACTTCCCCATGGCTTTGACCTGCTTATAAATGTCATCTGCACCAGCACTCTTGTAAGGTAAGTCATCGTGTGCAACAAAGTCAATCTGGAAATAAATCCAATAAACAATATCCTCCAAGCCACATGAAAATACATTCTTCAGTTACAGGCTGACTATACAAGACATGATAACTACAATCTCCATGGTAGATATTTCACTTCTTTTGTCAACTTCACATGCTATTGTATATTAATTGAATGGTCTTGACTGATGAAATTTTTTAAGGAAAGTCTGGAGTAAAATAATGGGAATTTAAGAGTTGAGAACTATCAACAAAATATACCCAGTTTGAAAGAAGGAATATCAATTCACATGATTAGCATAAAACAATCCTACAACAATAAAAAAATTTCATGGATTAAGAATTTTCTCATTATTTTCAAGATTACTATCATCATTGACTAGAAGGATATAAGCATGGCTTGAAAAAAGGTAACTTGAAAACTTCTGGCCTGTATTTTGTACACAAGTGGGGTTTCTCTGAGAACTATTAAGGATAATAAGCAAACCACAATGGCCACAGCAATGAAGCCAAGCACAACAGAAGGTCTAATGGGCAGAACTATAGCTCAGCACAAGAAATTTATAACTCTTTGTACACTTATTAGCAAAACAATAACATGAAATCATCTTAATTTGTAAGATATGAGAATGAAAACCCTGATGGCACATCCTTAAATTTCCATTTTTAACTCAATACTGTTCACATTTTATGCTGAAGTTGGGGTGTGGTGCTGTGAGAGACAGTAGACACATCCAACCTTCCCAAAATTCTTATTTAAATCATAAATTTATTATTTAATTGACATCTTCCTCCGTGTTGCCAACCTGACAGCTTAAGGTCATTTTTGTCCACTTATTTCAAGTTGGAAACAAAATCTACTTTACATACCTTATGAAGTTCAATAAAGTCAGGAGTAACTTCCCAAGGAGCATCACAAATAACTTCATCGACGTAACGGCAGTGCCTCAGGGATTCGTACCTTTCATCCTCTGTCATGACCGTGAATCCCTTGTACTTATGTGTCAAGTCATCATTAGACACTGCATTGACAAAATTTATATCCAAATGAAACTTTGCAGGAAACAAGCATAACTAAGCTATGTACAAGTTAGAGGCAGTCCTATGGCATTCATATTTTTGCAATAAAGAGAGAAGTCATTGAAGCAATGATTTTGAGAACTTAAAAACAGGACTATTACCTGCCAAAGGCATCAAATTATTCACATTTTCTCTCAAGATCTGAATAGTAATTCTCTTTACTGTTTGCTCGACAAATCTTTAACTCTCATTGTCTGCTTGATATTGTATTGACATTATAAGGAGGAATTCTATCTTTGTCACTCATGGTTTAAGAGACATCCATTTGACGCCTGACCTTCATGACAGAAAGGATGGATCACAAGATTTTTAGAAGAAAGGTTGGGAAAGGTTCAGACAGCAGAAAAATTTCTGTTATAATTTTTCTCAAGGGAATGAAAAATGGTTTGGACGAACAGTGGAAGAGAGATGTTTTCAAATCATATTTTTCTTTTCGCCAAATTTTCAAACTTCTCAGCAAAGAGTATTGTTTAAGTCTATTTTATGGCTATTAAGGCAACTTCCCCTAATGGGTTCCCAAATTCCATGTAATTGAACTTTAGACTTGAACTTAAAATCAGGCGGGAATTGTCCTGAACTTTGATATCAGCTGATGTCTGCCGAGGCATTGCGTTACATTTCAAGGTCAAACTTGATTTCCATGCATCGCACACTTTTTCGACCTTAATTGCGATTTTCCACGATTGAGTGGTAAAAAAGCAAAGAAAGTTTTGTAAAAAAAAGCAGGTTTTTACTTTTCCATTAATAATTAAATAAATAAACTTCCTACCTCCTACCATTAGATAAACTTCTGTCGGAAAAGCTTGTTTCGCTTGCATCAGTGCCCTTGCGTGTCCAAAATGATACACATCGTATACACCGTCTGCATAAACACGAATAGGCCTTGTTGCTGCAAGAAATAAGATGAACATTTAAAGAATTATGAAAAGGCCGATGGTGAAAAGCTGTCATTGCATAAATTAGGTAGGGTATAAAATTGGTATACAAAAAACCAGCTGGTAGAAGAAATGCGGGTACGTAAGAAGAATTTGTTTAAGCGAAAGTTTAAGCTGAAATTAAATTTCCGATTTGCATTGTTAAGCTTTTGTCCAAGACTACGAAACAAATACCTTTTCCATCCTTTGCATCCTGTAAACTTATTGGCTCTAAATTGTCTGGAACTTGTTCCTCAGGAGACGAAATCGTCAAGTCTGGTGCAAACAAGATAGCGGGTTCACGCGGTGACTGAATCGAGGGAAAATAAAACGCGAATAAAAATAACACAATGGATCCATTCTCTTAGAGCTCCAATTTAAATAATCTTAGTTGTGTACTGCAGCTCTACTTACTATTTGCGCAAGCATAATAGTTTGTATATAATGGTTTGTAAACAAAGTGAAAGTGTACCATAGTCAATCGCAAAAAGGACATCTATTTCCGTTCAAGCAATTGTTTTCATTAAGTTGTTTAAAGAGTGAGCCGCCATTAGCAGTGGACAAAACTGCTCGATGTGTTTTGGCTTATTGTTAGGGGAACTGAAAAAACTATTAAATTCAACAGCTGCTACCTTGCTGTGTAGAAAAATTAAACCTTTAAATCTCCCCTCTCTTGGGAGTCTCAGCTGTGTTCGGCAAACACATTTCATTTCTTACCACGCAGACAGCCTTGCTTCTTGCTTTCCCGTTTAAATCCGAGTCTTGTGAATCGGGACGTTTCCTTTTCCGTGAACCATTTTGTTTCCTGGCTTCCCCTGAAAAGCTCTTTGGAGAAGACATCTTACCACAAACGTTGTTACTTTCAAAGCATAATTACCTATGAATTGTCCGATCTGTCCGATTACCTTTCCGCTTTGAAAGGCCGGTCGGGGAGCCACATTTTGTGGGACTGGATCTGAAATACGGGTTCTGCCGAGCAATTCCGACTTAGTACGACAATATTCGTAAATATCCGTAAGTTTCATCAATAATGGTTGTCATGGAAATGAGCGAAGCGGGGAAAAGTAAAAGAGCAAAATATGGCGGCTGCTAGCTCCCAAAGACCGATACCTCTCTTACGAAGGCCTTTGCCACCTAAAAAATCGCTACCACCGCCTTCTCTCCGCTTACGATCAGAAGATCAATCCTCAACGGAGGAGAGAAATCACAAAGTGTTGCCAAAATCACCCGAGGTGTCAAGCATAAAGCGACCTGTTAAGTCAAAAGTCGCAGATCCAGCACGTAGAGAAGTGAGGTTTCATGGCGATGTGCCTTTGCCGATTGCGTCTGTTGTGAAGCCTTTCAAGACAAAAGGACCCGATTCTCTACCTCTTCGACCTCCTAGAAAACTAAGAGAGCTGCCTTTGGAAGCTTTTTTGAAAGACTCGTACTCGAGACCGCCTCCTGAATTCACTTTGACGGACTTCATGAAAAGGTTACCATCCCGCGCTGGAGCCAATGAAGATGGAGAACCAATGATTTCTGATCAAAACTACGAGAAATTAACGAGCTGGTTTGCTGCTAACAGACCTCACCAGTCTTCCATTCATAATCTCGAAATAGACAGTAAGTGTTAATAATTCAAATTTTTAGTGTATCGGTTCGTCGCGCGTCAATGAGGCAACAGCGGTTTACTAGTAAGTAAGTAAGTAAGTAAGTAAGTAAGTAAGTAAGTAAGTAAGTAAGTAAAGGCTTTATTTAATGAAGGTAGCACTAAATAGTAAAGAATACTAATAAACCAGTGGCCCTCCCAGCACTAAAATACAATAAAAATTTTAGAGATATTAAAAACTATGGCTTAACTACATAAAAATGAGCTATGAAAATTACAGAGTAAAATGATTTAAAACCTGTTGGTCATTGAAAATGCTCTTCCAGAGTGAAGTTTTAAAACTACTTAAGGTGGCCATTTTTCGAGTTGATAGTGGCAGGGTGTTCCACGTTTTACATGCTGTCGTTGTAAAAGTTCTTCCTCCTTCCTTTTGACGTTTGACGATCGGACAAGCTAAATCTAGAAAGTTTCAGCAAAATTTTTAAGAAAGCAGGTACATTTCCTTGTAACCGTTTTTATTAAAAACTGGATCATTGGATAATGCAATTCAAGACTTTTTATTGGCTTAGCCATTATGGTATATTGGCCAATATACCATAATCTACAAATATGGTAGGCGTAAGCGTCAACTTAAAATTAAAAGGAAGCTAAAAAATTTAAGATTTGGTAAGATTTGTCTTATATCTTGGGGGCGTTTTTAATAAAACAATTATTCCACTCGCGCTTGTTGGATATGAGATGATTATAGCCAACTCGGCGCTACGCGCCTCATTGGCTATCTATCATCTCATATCCAAC